TTCACTTATTGCTGCTTGTAGATTGCTTTCCTTGACTCTATCTTCTGACCTTACAATGCTCCCAAGGGAGTGAAAACTGTGCCTTCTGTTTTTGTTCCTTGTGCAGTGGGAGGCCAGCAGGGGCTGTGCAGTAGTAGAGTGTTTGGGTAGGTTTCTGGGCAGAGGAGGTTGCTGAGGTTCAGAAGGACAGTGGACTTGACTGTGTTAAGAGAAGCATGCAAGACTGAGACTCAGGGATGGCAGCACAGTCTGAATGTGGTGGGAGCAGCCAGGCATGGGCAGGTGTGGTGCGTGGGCCTGGGGAGAAAGGGGCTGTCCAGGCAGATGGGTGAATGGACTAAACAGACTCCATAGGCATAATTCTGCAGACGGCGTGGACCTGGGAGGGAGCAGGGGTGGGCAGTGGCCAGGCTCTGACAATAGAACAGGAATTTGGAGACCACTGCCCTGGCCTGGCTTGCAGGATCAAGGGGCTTTGGCTAGAGCCACTACCTGTAGAGCTCCTTCCCCTCCTGGTCTGACTGGCAGATCAGGTCCCAGTCTCTCCAGGTAAACACTCAAGGCAAAGAATGATAAGTGTGCCCTTTCTTCCTGCCTTCCAGCTTGCACGAGCCACTGTTCGTGATCCCAAGACAGGTGTGCTCACTGTCGCCAGCTACAGGGTTTCCAAAAGGTTAGCAAAGGTGATGGTGGTGGAGGGATGGCTGCTCGAGCCCCAGCTCCGGGGCCTCCCAGTTCCTACTAAGGGCGGGTGACTCGGGTGGTTGTCCTCCCTGCTGGCGCCCGCACCTGCCTACGTGGAACTTTCACTCTGTGCTGCCTTCCATGCTGGCCCTGAGGCTGGGGAGAGTGTAGGACCTCATCTAAGTCTGCTTTGCCCTTCTTCTTTTCTCTCCCTCTTGTTTTGGTGTAGCTCCTGGCTGGAGGAGGACGATGACCCTGTTGTGGCTCGGGTGAATCTGCGGATGCAGCATATCACAGGGCTAACAGTGAAGACTGCAGAATTGTTGCAGGTATGGCTTGTTCCTGGGACCCTGGAGTTAGGAAGGGAGTGTTTCTAGCTAGATCATCTCCCAGGGTGCTCAGGGCTGGGCATAGGGCGGCTTGCCCAAAAAAACTGTCTGACTATAGGATGCCACGAGTATGGAGTGGCCTCCTATTGGGAAGCCAGAATTAAGTATGCCCACTGGCATTCAACAGTTAGTGTTCACAAATGTCAACTGAATATCTTCTCTGTGCCCGAGTATCACACTAGGTGCTAGGGATCATTGGTGGGTATGGCAGGCCCATTTATGTCATCTTGACTACAGATCCTGAATTGTTCCAGGGACACCTCTAAGAGCTGTGAATATATTCAGACGTATGGTTCTGAGTCTTAGTCAAGTGCACTTGGAGGTAAAGTGTTCTGTAATACTTTAGCAGTGAGAGGCCTAGATTGGTTGGATGGTGAAGACGAAGTACTCCATTTTAAGTGATTCCCTGGGACCCTGGCTTCCTGCTTTTTATTTCAGAGGTGAAGACATATGGCAGCACCATACTGAACATTATGGGCAGAGCTCCTACTAATGTGTCCTCTGTTCTAGTGAGTGCAAATCAGCACTTTGTATGATCCCTTCTGAACAACCCTGATTCTGAATTCTGCTGTAAAGTGATGCCCTGAGACACTGCCAGAAAAGTTTCACTGGCATTTTTTCTTGAGTCTCCTGGATCTGTTTGGCCAGATGTTCTGTGTAATTAAGGATCTCACACTTTAACTGATCAACCATAGCTCTCAGTAGAATACTGAACTGAGATCACTTGGAAAATATTCTCTGAACTTTTGCCTGGACACATCCAAGCAAATCAGCACTCATTCCCCACTCCATAGCTGGGTCAGCAACCAAAACCAATTTTGAAGGTTGTCTTTATGGATTTGTATGAAGTCTGCCAGAGATTTTGGTTTATGTTTTTTTAAGCATGCTGATTATCTTATAGTTTCGTGACCATTTTATGTAATTTTTTCAGTTCCACTGAGCTTAGTGTTGAGTTTGTAAGTCTTAATTTTTAGGTAAGATCTGCAGACAAGCACATCGAGAGAGGACTTCTGCCACATCTCCCACTCCCCTGTTAGGTGAGAGAGCACACCCTTTTCAAGAACGATAGGGTCTCCATGCCCCAAGTGCATTTCTGTTGGTGTAGTTGTGATTCATACCTTCCTGGAACAGGTTTTGTGTTATTGTTAAGACATCTACCATTGCTTCCTACAAATCAGAGCCAGTGTTAGGACCATCATGGCCCTTACTGAGGATGATGTTCCATCTGGTTCCTGACTCCATACCCTGGGCCAAGAGGCTGAAAAGAGTGTACAAGGCCTGTACCCCTGTTGTTCTCCTGGCTGACTTCCAGGCTGTACCCTATCTCACATGCAACCCCAGAAGACAGCAGCTTTGTCCTTGGTCTGGCTTCATCTTAACTGATCTCTTGTAATGTTGTAACTCAGTTGATAAATGGGCTTTGAATGCTGCAACTCCCAGTGTGTGGGCTTTTATGGTCAGGGTCTTCTGGAAGAACATTTTTGTTTGCTTTCATTCTCTAGGAACTATCTTGGCATTTTCTTTGCCAGCCAGTGTTGTTCAAAGCTTTGATCCTACATGGACAGGGGATAAGAAACTAGGTTTCAGAACCTGTCTCCCAGTGCTCGTTCCACATTCCGCACAGTGTGATACATGCCTAGGCACCAGCAAGAGCCTTCCCACCAGGGTCCTCCTGGGAGCATTACAGGCTTCTGGAAAGGACCTGGTTCTTCTGCTGCCTGTTGACACTCTCATCTGTAGTTGATGTGTTTGCTTTAGATCATTTGGACGAAAGGGCAATTGAGGCTTTCTTTTGAATTGGATGAGGGCCTGTCTGAGAGTAGAAGAGATTCTGCATTGCCAGAATTCCTGAAGATTGAAGACTCTGCTGACTCGATGCCTCAGTCTCACAAAAAATGTGATTTCTAACCATTTGTCCCCCTTCACTTTGACCTCAGTATCATAAATACCCACATCTTTCAAAGGACTGACTCTTAATACTTTTGTGACAAATGAATACCTCCTCTCAGGAACCAGTTTTGATGTACAGCTTCTTATGTAAGGTATGAGTCTGGGGCCTGGAGTTTCCCAGATGGTGATTCTGATGGCTGCACATCCAGAAGTTCCCATGGCACTTGGACTATTTGGGGATGGTATTAAATAGTATAGGTACAGTAGCCTGAACACCATGATCAAATGTGACTCTCTCAACTGCTAAAAGATAAGCCACCTGTAACAATGCAGCTTCTTTCACTATCCCCAGGTAGTGAAAGTTTAAGCACTCCATCCAAAAAGTGGGAGTGTTGGAAAATGCAGTCATACCTTGCACCTCCAGCAATAAGCAGCGAGTGAACTTTCCTGAATGCACTGGCAAACTGATCACAGTCATGTTTAAAGTTTTCTTCAAGTTCTTGGCTATAGTGGATCCAAAAACAAAGCATTTGTAATATTACTTCATCAACTTCTCTAGCACTTCTCTCCTTCCATGCATCTTCAGTCTCAGGGTCACCTGCTGAACTAGGCCTCCTTGCACTGTTGATAAGTATTTTTGGTGTGGGACACTTGAAGGCCAAAGCAGTGTGTGACAGGATGTTTTCTTCCACTGATTCTGATTCTCCTTATCAATGTTTTTATTTTTATGGACATTGAAAAGAATCATTCTGCCCCAGATCTGCGTTTCATCACATTCAATAAATACTGTTTTCTACTCCAAAAGGAGGATTTTCTCTCTTGTAAAGCCCATCCTCCCTCTCTCTCCATCCTGTTCGTAGATGGCCATTATTGCCAGTTTTGCAGCATCTCTCTCCTGACTCTTAGAATCAACAAAAAGTTTATATGAAACTAATTTTCTGATGACTAATAGTTGAATCCTTAAAGTGTTTATGGTTTCATTAAGACACAGTAGCCAAGTGTTCCCAGATAGACATTGGTGGTACCATTTGGTACATCAGCTTTCATGTCAGATTCTGCATTTCATCTTGAACTTCATCTCTCATCTAGCTACTGAAGCTAAAATAACCATTGTGACTTAGAACTTATGTTGTGCCGGTAAACTGTTCACAAAGGTGTTTATGACTTCTGATCCAAGTAGTGATGCCTGAGGTGGCTCAGGCCCTGGTCTGGGTTCAGGCTTCACTTGGGGGCAATGAGACAGAGCAGCAGTTTGGGGCCCCCTCCAGCCAGCCACGCAGGCCTTGCTGCTGCATTTGGGTGCAGAAGTATTCCGTGCAGCGGACCACTGGGAGGTGGGGTGGGATTTGTTTGTCCTGTTCAGCCTGACCAAGATGAGTTTCTGGGGCCTGGTGACAGAGGTGGCAGGAGCATGGCCAGGCACTGAGTAGCTCCCAAACTAGTACTAAAAAGAAAAAAAAGCCCTCCCCCCCACAAACCGATTCTGAATTTATTGTTGGCATTCGTCTGGACTACCACTTCATTATCTTGCAAATAATCATGCCCTGCCTGAAGGAGGGCTCCCTCTGCTGCCATCCATGTGTCCCTCAAGGGCTGGATCTTCTCCACAGTGGCCATCTGCAGCTTGCCCATCATGTCCTTTCTGGGAAACCACATTTGTGTTGCACCCTTCCTCTTGGACACAACTATAGACCTGTTTGTAGCATTTGTTCTGCCCAAACTGGCAGGGCATAGCTACCCTCCTCAGAGAGGCTGCTCCTCGGGGTTCTGGTTGTTACCTGGGGAGATGGGCTGCTTCAAGGTGGTTCATGCTGCTGACGAAGTCCAATGCTGTTATTTCCTACCAGGTTGCTAATTATGGAATGGGAGGACAGTACGAGCCACATTTTGACTTCTCCAGGGTAAGACCCCGCTCAGGTTTTTTCAAAGGCCCTGCTCTAGCTGATTTGAGAAGGCTGTAGCCTTCACCTTAGCGCCCCCACCTCACCAGGGCCCACTCTTTGTTACTGGAGAAGCCCAAGTCCAGAGCCGAGTGCAGCCTGGCTGTTTCCCCTGTGATGTTGGGAGTGGTCCCCCTAACCCGACCCTGCCATTCTTTGCCCTGATTCTGAAGCAGAGGACATCACTAGGTCTCTGTGAACTCTTTCCTGCCCCTTCTCCTCTATGCCCAGCTAGGATTTCCTTTGCAACTTTGGCCCCTGGTCCAGGCCTATGTATGGAACCCCCGCTTAGTACCTTCCCTCGACTTTTTTGGCCCCAGTCCTGTGGGTGGTGGGGGAAGTCAGTTGCAAACTTGGGTGAAAGTTGTTGTCTATTGCAGCGACCTTTTGACAGCGGCCTCAAAACGGAGGGGAATAGGTTAGCGACGTTTCTTAACTATGTAAGTACTGGGTACAGGCCCACCTGTGTGCTCTCACTTAATTTTATAGAAAGATGAGCAAGATGCTTTCAAGCGTTTAGGGACGGGGAATCGTGTGGCCACGTTCTTAAACTACGTAAGTATGATGCCTGCAATGTGTGGGCTTAAGGGGAGCCTGGGTCCAGAGTGCTCTCTTAAATGTGCTCCCATCAGAGCTGATACCGCCAGCTGTTGCTCAGCGGCTGGGTCCTCCTGGCCCTCAGTACCCTTCTTCGCTGGTGTAGAGTGTTGCCCCGTGTTTCCATTTGTGTGCCTCTCCCAGCTCTTGTGATTTACATCCCTGGCTCCTTTTTGATGGGCCCAGTGCTAATCTGGACTTGGGGATGGGTATCCTGGAGAGGTCTCTGCTTGGCGTCAGAGTGAGGAGGTGGCCTGGAAGTGCTCTTAGATGAAGCTGCCTTCATTTCCCCGGAGCTCACTGGCCTGCCTGCTTCCCACCTGCTGCCTGTACTCTAGCCAAGGTTAGGTTTACCTCTCACATGAGGAACAGTTTCCTCTCCCCTTGGCTGAAAGAGGCATCCCTAAAGAGGCACAGAAGTAACTTAGAGATAGAAGCCTGTGTCCATTTTCCCCTTTGGTCTTGTTTAAGTTTTGTTGTGTGGTTATTATGTTGTGGGGACTGCTATGAGTGTGCTGGTGAGCAGGACATGCGTGGTTTCTCTTGGGCTTATGGTCTAATATGAAAGACTTTAGACATGGAAGAGGTAATTGGTTACCATAGTGATAAGTGCTGTGAAGAAGTAATGCAGAGTGGAGGTTCTGAGAAAGCCTCCCTTGAGAAGTAACATGTCAGTTGAGACTTAAAGGTTGGGTGGAAATTTGTTGGTAGAACATGATTTTCTGGTAGAGAGGAGAATGTGTGGAGGCCTGGAAAAGGGAAGGAACTTGGGATGTTGGAAAAAGAGAAAAAAGGGTGGTGTGTCTCAGAGATAGTGTGTTAATCTGGGGTGGCTAAAGGGAGAGGCTTGGGAGACTGCCAGGGCCTTCAGGTTTTAGAAAAGAGCCTGGATTTGATCCTCATTCTGGTGAGAAGCCATCAGGGTTTTCATTTTCCTCATTTACCATTAGTCTGCTGGGTGCCCTTCAGTCTGTCTGGTATGTGTCCTGTGGAAATATTTTAGCTCCATGTTTTATTACCTTACAGGCAAAAACTTGAATTAAGAGAGCCAGATAAGAAAGAAGTAGTGCTTTGGGCATGAGCTGAGCCAGATGAGAAAGAAGTAGTGCTTTGGGCACGAGCTGAGCTCTGTGGGCATGAGTGCAGCCTTGCTGATGTGGAAATTGTGTTCCATTTAGTTTGAGGTTTTACTGTGGGAGAAGCAGGCCCTCTGGAGACAGAGTACCCTAGCTGGCCCTGGGAGGGTGGCTCTTGCGGGAAGGTGAGGGTCTGACTAGAGCTGCAAGTTACTCAAGCCAGAGAAACAGTGCAGAGTTGGGCCCACCAGTGGTGATAGAAGCCACAGGGAGCCCCTGGTCAGGGCAGCTCACAGGGCACACTGACTTAGGCGAGGGCCAGCTTGGATGAGAATAATGGGGGTGGGGGTCAGTCAGGCATTTTCCCAGTACAGACTCAGATTTTTCCCATTCGAGGACAGCCAGGGTATGGGTCTCCTTAGGCCTACCTCTCTCCATGGCATGAGAGTGTCCTGATGAACCACTCAGATTAAGCAGGGTTTAGGGAGGGGCAGGGTGTGGGAAGAGCCTTTCTTGGTCAGAGGGCTAGTGGTGGAGCTACTGATGCTCAGAGGAGGACAATCCACATACTTTATCATGTCCTTTGTGGCTCAGTTGCTCCGAGAGTATTGAGTAGAAGGGGGGCCAAGCTCTGTGTCTTATATTCCCAGATGAGTGATGTAGAAGCTGGTGGTGCCACCGTCTTTCCTGATCTGGGGGCTGCAATTTGGCCTAAGAAGGTAAGTTCTGGTTCTTGGGGGTCAAAGGTTGAAGTGCAGGGCCCAGACCTCATTCCTGTCTCCTAGTCCAGTTCCCTGGCTTGCTTGACTCTCACTTTGAGGGACCTTAGCCATTTCCTGCCTGAACCCTGACCTGTGGTCTAGGCCTTCACCTTGGGAGATGGACTGGAGAGGGAAATTCCTTGAGGGCCGGGTGAGATTCTCAATATCTACTCCACCAGGAGGGGTAGGAGCTTTTTGGGGAACTTCTCTACGCTGGAGTCCCAGAGTCCTGTGCCCCTGAACAGAGGAGAGTGAAAGTGTTTCTGCTCAGAGGGGGCTCTGGGGTACTCAGCATTAGATCCTTGAGCCCAGTATCTAAGGGTGTTGTATGACAGGCTTTCTCTTTCCAGGGCACAGCTGTATTCTGGTACAACCTCCTGCGGAGTGGGGAAGGTGACTACCGAACAAGACATGCTGCCTGCCCCGTGCTTGTGGGCTGCAAGTGGGGTGAGTGGCTTAAGTTGTGGTGGTGGCCTCTGGTGGTCAGCCTGAGACTCTGAACTGAGAGATACTTGCTGCTGAATTTTCACAGTGTCAAAACTGTCTCCCTTTTGGAGATTTTGGGGTTTTCTTTTTGTTTTTCCTTGATAACCAGTAGTCCCACCCAGCCATGTTAGCTGTCCACTCAACTGGTTATATGCTAAGACATTTGGTTGGGAACACTTTCAGAGGTGCCCAGAGAGCTAAGGAAGCCCCAAGGAAAAATAGCTATACAGGCATCCTAGGTCCAGGATGGCTCCCAGAAGAGTGGACTCTGGCAAGGGTTCTGAGGTCAGAGTGGGAAGAAGTGGAAACAGAAAGAGGAAAAGGTGTCTCAGGAAAGCAAAGCCCATGTGGAACAAGGCTCAGGCTAAAACCAACATCATAGGTGTGGGGACCAGCTGCCTTTGTCTCTTGCACAAGGGGAGGCTTGTGGCACAGAGACTGAGAGATGAGGCTTGAGGCTGAAATCAAACTGTGGAGGCTGAAAATTGAGCTTTGTTTTGGAAACAGCTGTGGTGAGTCATGGAGAGGCTTGAAGCAGGATGTGACAGGAAGTGATCACAAAGAGATGAATTTATAGCCCTCTTGGAGAGTTATGGGGATAAATAGTGATACGTTCACAGAAAATTAAGCAAATGAGAAAGAAAATAAGAAAAAATAAAAAAGTTGTACCAGAAAGGAAATACAGTTGACCCTTGAATAAAGCAGGGGTTAGGGGTGCTGACCCTCTACACAGTTGAAAATCCATGTGTAATTTATAGTTGGCCCTCCATATATGTGGTTCCTCCATATCCAAGGTTCTACATTTACGAATTCATACAATTGTGGATCATGTAGTACTGTAGTATTTACTATTGAAAAAAATAGGACTTCCCTAGTGGTCCAGTGATTAAGAGTCTGGCTGCCAATGCAGGGGACACAGGTTTGATCCCTGGTCCAGGAAGATTCCACATGCTACAGCTACTAAAGCCCATGTACCTGGAGTCTGTGTTCCTCAACAAGAGAAGCCACCTCAATGAGAAACCCACACACCACAACTAGAGAGTAGCACCTCCCTTGCCACAACTAGAGAAAGCCCATGCACAGCAGTGAAGACCCCAGTGCAGCAAAAAATTAATTTTAAAAATAAAGTGATAAATCTTTTAAAAAACCCATGTATATAAGTGGACTTGCCCAGTTCAAATGTGTTGTTCAAGGGTCAGCTGTACAATCTATTAGGTAGCTCAAGTGTGAGTAATATTTACATGACATAATAATGTAAATACTGAATATTAATTTAACTAGAACTTGTGATATAACTATATTGGGGGATAGGAAGGGGAAATATGTATTTAAAGAATGGTGTAAAAAATTCCAAAGCTCCCATCTTCCATGGTAGACTATCAACATATAAGATCTAAAGTTGAAAGTTAAGAAATAACATTTTAAGTATGTTATTTAGAAAAATGAGGATAAATATCAGAAGAGACAAAGGAGTTAAATAAATGTTCAGTGGAAGTGGGGATTGATGGTGGGAATGGATAGGTAGGAAATTGCTATTTATTATTATAAGCCTTGTAGAACAATTTTATTTTTTCAGCTAAGTACATGTATTATTTAATTATCACAAAGTGTATTTTAAAAGTACAATGACTTCATTCGTACATTAAAAACAATTTTCTAAATTCATTATGAGTCTATGAAATAAAAACCGTGGTTTGTGAGCATTTAAGACACAACTTCAGGTGATGGTGCTAGCACCAGCTCTGCTTTCCTGCTACTCACAACATACAGGATTGATCTGCTGGTCTGGAGCCCCTGAGGTGGACTCCAGGCCTGCCACAGTCCTGACAGGCTGCCTTGTCTCTTCCATCTCACTTCCCACCCACCACATTCCAGTAGGGGGTTGGGGTCCTTGACACACACACCAGCGTGGATCGTGCCTTGCTCTCTGTCACCCTGTTCCCACTTCCCAGACCCCTTTGGTATAGGAACCACCTGCTCTGTCCATTTTCTTCCCTGGATAACTCCTGTTTAGCTTCCTGTCCCAGCCCTAGGGTTTCCTCTTCTCCCACATGGTTAAATGCTCTTTAGCTCTGTTTCTGTGGCAACCTACACACAGATATCTTGTGTCACTGACAGACTTTTGTACAATTATCTGTTTTCCTTACCAGCTCATAAGCAACTTGATGACCGAAACCAAGTCTTACTCATGTCTGATTCCCAGGCCTAGTGTAGGAGTCATCATGAAGGAATCATTAATTTTGGCTGCTAAACTAACCAACAGGATTGTAACATACTTTCTGTCTGTTCACAGTCTCCAATAAGTGGTTCCATGAACGAGGACAGGAATTCTTGAGGCCGTGTGGATCGACAGAAGTTGACTGACATCATTTTCTGCCCTTCGCCTTCCTGGCCCCACAGTCCGTGTTGTCTTCAAGTTCAATGTGACAGACTCCTGTCTATGTTCCAGTCCCATCAGGCGGGTCTCTGGAGGCGTGAATGTTTTGTATGGAGTAGAGAGTGGACTAGGGAAGGTCCTGGATGACCTGGGTCCCAGCCTCTCTGGCCAGCCTATGCTATCTCTGGACGCTCGGGTAGGGATGGAGTAGAGTCAGGTGGTCTGCACCTAGCAAGGTGCTTTTGTACCTCAGATGCTTTAGGTGTGAGATGTTTCAGTGAACCAAAGTTCTGATACCTTGTTTACATGCTTGTTTTTATGGAATTTCTATTAATGTGGCTTTAACCAAAAATAAAATGTCCCTGCCAGAAGCCTTAAAGAGCCTTATTTGGAGTATTTTTTTTTAAGATGGGGAGCTTTTACCAAGTTCACCATTTGGATAATGAATCTGGATAATGAATACTTGAGAGGCAAACCCTGATGTTCCAGACCAGGTTTCAACACTTGTTTTTCTTCTAAGCTTAAGTGTTCTTTCTGGAAAGTGAGAGAGACAGTCTCCTTGCATCTCAGAGAACATGGAGACCATGTATATCCATGGTTGTGATGCTGTTATAATTTGAAATTTCTTACTTTAAAATTTTGAGACATACACACAAAGTTGGTTGTGATACATAGATGTACAGTTTAAAGACTATGAAGGAGAGCATGAAGACCCATGTCACCATCACCTGGGTTAGAGGTTAGAGAAGAGATTATTTTCAGTCTTATACCTCAGGGGCCCCTGGGTGCCCCTCTGATCGTTTCACTGACCTGCCCCCAGTATCTCAGTGGTAACCACTGTCAACAGATCTGTGGTAGTTATGCCTTTGCTTTTCTTCGTAGTTTTACTATCCAGGTCTATATCCCTAAATAAATAGTAGTTATTTTGTTTTCCTTGATTTTGAACTTTTTGTAGTGAAAGCAAGAGTATATTTTAGGGGGTGTTTGACTTCTTTTATTTGATAGTTGTTTGTAGGATTCATTCATGTTGTGAAGCTGTAATTTAAGTTAATTTGTGTAGTTCAGTTTTATTAGCATCTATCATAGGACAGTATCATAATATACTAATATACTGTTGACAGACATTTGAATTGGTCTCAGTCTTTTTATTAGACTGCTGTTGCATTTTTATATGTGATTTCTGGTGCAAATAAACACATTTTTTAGAATATATACCTAGAAGTGGAAATACTGACTCTCAGTAGGTGGGTCTTCAACCTTACATATAATGTATTCCAGAGTGGTTATGCACATTGCCACCAGGTGTAAGTAAAAGTTCTTGTTATCCCAATCTTCTCCAATATCTGATAGTGACACAATTTTGCATTTTAGCTAGCTTATTATATAGTTTTATCTATCTAAACATGATTATTAATGACATTGAACAGCTTTTTGTATGTTTATTAGTATTTAGGTTTTATTTTGTCTGATTCTTACTAATTCATTGAAATTTTTAACATACTATGAACACAAGCTTTTTGTTGGTTAGATGTTTTGCAAATATTCTTTTCTACTTTGTCTTTTCATTCCTAGTTCTTTTGTTGAACAAAAGTTCTTAATTTCTGTGTCAAATTTATCAGGATTTTCCTTTTAGATTTATGCTTTTATGCCTTGTTTAAAAAATTCTATATCCCAAGATCATGAAGATATTTCTTATATTCTTTTCTAAAAGTATTATAGTTATGTCTTTTACATTTATATCTTTAATACACCTAGGTTTTATTTTTGTATATGGTATGAGGTGCAAGGATCTACTTAAAGAGATTCTTTTTATGTATTTTATTTGGATAGACTAAGCTTGTGGTACTGTAATAAAATAACCCTTAAGTCTTAGTGGCTTAATGAAACCGTCTCTCATGCAAAAAATCACTGGTTCTAGGGCAATTGTTACCTATTGATTGCCATACAATCTCCCTCTAGTGCCTTCCATCATCAGAACCTAACAGGAAGCCAGCGAGTAAAGGAATCTGAGAAATAATAGAGAGTTGCAACTTCTCTGCCTAGAGTGTTCCCTGGATTTGTCTCACTAGCAGTTCTATAATTCTAATCCTTGTATCCTCAGTATTTAAACACTGCTCCTCAAATCCATTTTTTCCCCCAGAGGTTTTCTGCTTAGCTTCTTAATTTTCCATTGTGCACAGCTTCAGAATTTACAAAATGTCCTAATGGGTAAACAGGGTGAGTGGTTGACTGAGTTCTATACTCTTCCCTCCTGTTAAGTATTCTAAAAAATTACAATCTAATTTTTTGTCTTTCAGTGCCCTTTGAGACCACCAAGATCTCTGCTGGTTTCTCTCTTAGCAGTTACCTGTTACATCGGTTCTTTATCTGGCTACCCAGTCTCTTATCTCATGCGTAGAATCAGTAAATAATCAAAGGATAAAAGAAACCAGACTTTTGGCTCACCTACCTGAGATTCATCCTCTGGGATCATAAATAGATGTGTAAAGTTTGAGAGGCTTGATAACAGAGAACCTAGTGCTTGAGTAGCACAGGAGAATGAGGTCTCATTTAACCAGGAGTAGGTACCACATTGTTAGATCTGGGTCTTGAAGAGTAAGTAGGAATTGTTTTTTTGTCTGCTAATCTCAGTTTAAAATACATGCACATGGCTTTAAAAATAAGAAACAGATGAGTTTACCATGAATAATGCTTTCCTACTCTATTCTCACATTCTTAAGGGAACCTTTTTCAATTGTCTAATTTTTCTGACTATAATCATATATTTACAAAGCTATCTTTTGATTTTTCCACTTTAGAAATTTAAGAGATGATCATCTAGCTTTGTTCACTATCCTCTATTACATCTTCCTCTCCCTTTTGTCACTTTTTGATTTTTTTTTTATAGTCCTTTTTTTGCCTGGTAACACAAACGTCCTTTTTGTTTTGTAAGCCTAAGGTAACATCTCTGATATTTTACTATGTGAGCTGAAGATCTAGTGTTTGACCAAGCAATTAGTCACCACAGTCTAGCCTAGTTAAAATTAACTTTCACATGCCCTTTTAACTTCCCAACTTCTGTCAGTTATACTCTGGATGCTTGTTTTAATATCCAGGATAAGTTGAATTTAAAAGCTGAAAAACCAAAAACTATGTATGTAGCTTAATTTAATTGAACTCAGAGTCATTATAATGTTGCTATAGCTATAATAAAAAGGAATCTGTGCCTTATTTGTCTAATAAAATTCAAAACAAATTTACAACATGTATTAGTTTGCTAGGGCTGTCAAAATATCACAGACTGGGTGGTTTAAAACAAACTTATTTTCTCACAGTTCCTGGAGGCTAGAAGTCCAAGATGGAGGTTTCAGGAAGTTTGGTTTCTCCCGAGGCCTTTCTCCTTGGCTTCCAAATGGCCACTTTCTCACATGGGCACCTCTGGATGTGTTGTCTGTGTCCAAATCTCCTCTTATAAGGACACCAGCTATAGTGGATTAGGGCCCACCCACATGGCCTAATTTTACATTAAATATCTCTTTAAGACTCTAATTCCAAACAGAGTTGCATTTCAAGGTACTAGGGGTCAAGATTTAAACTTATGAATTTTGGGAGATACATAATGCTGCTAGGAAATCATATTAGATTTGGAATACTATTTGGAATAAAATAAACAAAATTCTTTCCCTTACTCTCTATACCAGATGTAGCCCATTATAAACAAGTGTGTCAGATTATTAAGTATGTTTTCATTAAGAATGTTATAACAATAGAAATTTTGATTTTATTGAAGAGATTAGGGAATATGAGCTATCTTATGAAATTCTTAATAAAAATCTCTGAGGTCAGGGTTATGTTAATAGAACCAATATTGCAGGGTACACAAGCTATTATTTTCCCTCAAGATGATCATGCCAAATTTCTGCCTTTCTCAGCACATAATTTAATGTGCAAAAAGACTACTTTCAATGACTTCAAATATCTTTTTAGTACTGTACAGAAGATACAGATTGATAGATAGAGATAATTGAGCAGTTAAAAAATTACGATCATTCCTGACTCTTTGTGACTCCATGGACTGTAGCCCACCAGGCTCCTCTGTCCATGGGATTTTCCAGGTAAGGATAGTAGGTCAGGTTGCCATGTCCTCCTCCAGGGGATCTTCCTGACCCAGGGATCTAACCTGTGTCTCCTGCATTGGCAGGCAGATTGTTTACTGCTGAGCTATCTGGGAAGCCCGTCTAAAAACTACATTAAACACAAATACTAATCCTGAGGGGCATTAAGATCAAATTCAATCACGGCACTTCACACAAATTAAAGATGTTTGTTAAATGTTAAAAGATATAATATCAGTAGACTAAATACAACATCCTGAAACCTAAATACAACATGCTCAGACAACATGTTAAAACATTGCATTGTGGTGCAAATACATTACAAATTTTTTTGCAACTTACCTGTTTGGGATGTTTTTATTTATTTTTATTTATTTATTTATTATTATTTTTTTTTAAATTTATTTTTTGGGATGATGTTTTGAACTGAGAAAAAGTTTTTAAAAGGTTGCATATTTTGCTTATAACAAATAAGAGCAAGTAACTGAAAGTATGTCTGACTAATGTTAAACTTAGGAAGAAATATGAATATACTTCCTGAATTTGAAAACAAAGAGATTGGAAATGTACAAATTATTGGATGAGTCTATTAATTATAGGAAAAGTGTTTTATCAAATAGAAATTTAAAGAGATTATAGATATGCTAGATATGGACTTAGCAAGTGAAGTGTCTTCAGATATTTTGAATTTTTACCTGGAGAAAAGTTATTTTCTGTGAATACATCTGTTACAAGTCTGATAACTTAAATCCTGTGGCAGTTTCACCTGAAGTAATTTTAAGCAGCATACAATAGCAGTGACTTGTAATATAAAATCAGCATTGTGTCTGAATCATCTGAAACTGATTCATGTATTTTCTTAGTATAATCTTATCCAAACTTGGACGTGGTCTAGGGAATTTTTTTCTAAATAGGAGTCACAGTGGTATCCTACAAAAGAATAATCAGTAAAATGAAGCTAACTTAAGATAATTTAAGATTGCACTTGGTCAAGAAAGTTGATCAAGAGTTTCAAAGTTTTGAAATTTTTACTGACAAGTTTGCTTCCATTAAAACCAGGAAAATAGAACATAGTAATTTTTATTTTTGGTGTAAATAAAATATTTAAACTTAAAAATGTGAATTTTAATATACCAATCTTCAATTTTGCAATATTTTCAACTAATTTTACTACCTTGGGAACACTAACAAAAAATACACAAAAACGTATATTAACAGCACAGGATTTCTTCTGCCTCAGTCTCTAATATGGCTTGGCATACCACGGATCTTGTTTTCAAACCTA